AGGAGGTGGCCAAATCTTAAATACTAATGGGTCCCTCCATCTCACCCACACGGGGCTCCCTCGCTGTATCTTGTAATTGCTGTTGGTTGGGGGCCTGTAGTCCAAGTCTTCAGGTGGAGGGCAGGGTGAGCTACCCTAGAGTACTTCCAACTTTCCAACCACCTGTGTGCTGCATGATGGCAGCTGCCAGGGAGGAATCTGCTGGTGGTTGTTAGTCCCTAAGAGCTTATTTGTATTTACACCTCCATCCCCTGGCAGAGCTGAGGAGGGGGGAGGCTTGTGCTCACTGCCTCCTCTGTACAGGGCTCCTATACCATCTCTCCAAACCCCACCTCTCAACCAACCCATTCCCTCTGCCAAAAAGCCCAATCAGCAGTGGTCAACCAAATCCTATCTTCAGGATAAGATGTGCGTGCCTGCACACCCACAGTAAATCTCTGCTTTTCTACAGATTTATCCCTACCCAGAGCCTCCCATTATTGTGGCCTGAAATCTTCACAAATGCCCCCAATCAACCCACCCCTATATCTGTACAGAGCATTCCAGAATGGAAGGGCCCATTCCACCTCCATATTGGCACCCCAAATGAGAAAGGCTGCATTTAGAAGCAAACTTGAAAAGCAAATTGTAATGACCCACAGCTTACCAAGCTCTCTGAGAAATCTGTTTAGTAAGTTTATCCCCTCCTGCCCTGGGCCTGCTCTCCCCAGAAGATGCATCTGGGAAGGTCAGGGTGCACATAAAAGCTGGAGACAGTTGAGGCAGCAAGTCTGTGCCTGAGCCTGGAGTCACCATGACCAGCTGCCTCCTGGAAGAGGAAAGGGGCTGTCCCTCCTCTCCTCTGCCCTGATTCCAGTCTTCCTGGCTCCCACACAATCAACCCACCCACTTTGCCTCAGTTCTCCCTGTGGCCTCCATGGAAAAGAAGTAGAAGGCAGGTAGGTCCCAGACCCTGGAAACAATGCCCTGTCCCTACACTGTGTATTCCTGGACCATGTATAAATGTGTACCAAAAACTTCTACATTTGTCCATGTGCGTGCTGGAAACACACTTCTATACTCATCCCATTTATATTTTTTGTATACACGCATATATTTTACATGTGTGTATATATATACACATGTGAGTGCATCTTGTGTGCTTTTTATGTACAGAAGCATGAGCATGTGCACAGAACGGTTGTATGTACAATAGCACTACCCATTCAGTGGCACACTGGGAAGAGCCCTGGACTCAGGAAATCTGGGGGTCTTGCCTTTCATCTGCTGTGTGCTTTAGAGTGAAGCATTTACTCTGTCAGCCCTCTCCACCCCACCATGTGAAGTGAAACCTTGTTTTTTTATTCAAGAGGACCTCTTCCAGCAGTGAGACTTCATTCAAAGACTGACCTAAGGCATTTGGGGAGGAGTAAGGGCTGGCAGGGTCCAGCCCTGCCCTTTCCACAAGCTGCCACACAAGAGTAACCTCCTCACCTGAGTTCAAATTGGGAGAGGAGAACAGAGGTTTCTGGTGGGGTGAGGAGGGATGCAGCAATGCTATGCCACCTCCTGCAGGCAGAAATGATCTCCAATGTGAACCCATGGTGACAGGAGGCAAAGCTAGGGGAGGACCACCGCAGGGCCTCCCAGCCCCTCCCTGCCCCTTCCCCTTGTGTGTGAGTGTTAGAAAGCAGGGGATGGGGGGGGTGGTGCCTATATTGCCAGAGGAATGTTTTCTCTCCAACACAAAAAGGGAAAACTAGGCTGACTTTTGGAGGAACTACTGGCCCCTCCAGAGAACCACAGGGGATACCTTCATCCAGGCCAGTAGTCTGGTGAGGATCTCTCTGCCCCTGGCCTTGGCCTCAAGGAATCAGACAAAGCTCACCCCTGCTCCTATAGGTAGGCCTTTCTTACTGGAGCACTGGGCAAAGTGGTGATGGGGAGGGGCAGGTTGGGGGCACAGTGGCCTCCCTAGTGATTCTGGAAGCTATGCCATGGGTCACAGGGCTATAGGAGCTAGGTAGAGGGCAGCCTAGCAGGCTACTCCTTCTCTGTATCCCAGGGGCCAGAGAACTGGGTACACACACACACACACACACACACACACACTCTCTCACAAACAGCAGATCACCACTATTGGTGATCCATATACCAAAACACACATTTTCACCTCCCAGGCCTGCATAAATATACTCAGTACCATCCCTGCACAAATGCCCACACCAAGTACAGCCACAAACAAGCTCACATAAGACATACACAGCCCCATGCATCCAAATACTCTGTCCTTCCTCTGCCTCCAGCTGCATCCTCCACCCTCTGACCAGAATAAAGGACCGGAAGTTTCCAGCAAGAAAACAGAGACCTTTGCCCTCAGAAAGAGCCAGGGATCAATAATGTTTAGATTCAGCTAGTGTGTATTTCCTCCTGGGCTGAGAAAGATTTAAGTTTATGGTTCAATTCAATCTTAAAAAAAAAAAGGTAGAAAATGAGCAAGTTGGAATAGCACACACACAAGTATTTATTTCAACGCAGCCCCAGATTATAGCACACCGGAGGCTTACTAAGCCAGCCACATAAATCAGAGAAATCAATGCCTGTTTATGATTATTATTATTACTTTCTTTTCTTGGGGGGGGGGGGAGCCAGAAAGAGGTCTGACCAGAGTCCTCCTCTCTCCTCTGCCCCAGTCAGGAAGAAGGAAAAATGGGGAGGGTGGGGAGATAGGAAAGTCAATCTGGACAACGACGTCAGGGCCTCGGCCAGATTCCTGAGGTAAAGGCAACTGTAAAGAGTAGATGCCACATAGAAAAAGACACACAGCCACAGGAAAGACATGGACCAAACATTTAAGTCCTCAGAGATTCAGTTTCTGCCACTGAACAAGGAAGAAAATTCTATTTGCTCACAGTGATTGGAAGATAAAAGTAGATAACGAGCAAGAAATCAAATTACATAATAATGACACATCTATACACTTTACTAACACAATCATGGGGAGGGGTAACCACCCACTCCCTCTCTCCTGGGATTAAGGGGAACAGCTCTTAGCTTTGATCTTTTGGAAGTGGTGAAGAGGAGCTTTAAGGAGCAAGATGCTCCCTGGAGTTGCTGCTCCTCTGGACTACTGCTCTTTCTGGGCTTGGGTACCCTAAGGGGCCACAATAGGGCAGTGAAAAAGAAGCATAGCCCCATTTCCAGGTACTCACAATGGTAAGGTTCTCTTTAGAGCTGGGTGTCCCCAACAGTGCATCTGAATATGGCAGCAGGGACCTTTCTTGATGTTTTGAGCTATCTGAGTTAGGCAAGGAGTACTCTGGGCCCCAGGTCTCAGACCCTCTGACCTGAAGGTCTGGGGAACTTGAAGATTCCAGGCTCCCTTTTCCCACAAGGAAAGGAAAGAAGGTACTTTCTGCCAACAGAAGACAACTCACCGGGGCTCTCCCAGGGAAGGGCCAATCTCACTGCTTCCTACTTTTCATGCAAGGATTGGTTGAGCACCCATTATGCCCAGAGGTTACTCCATATACCCCAAGAAGGTGTGAAGGGGATGGAAGGAAGTGATTCACTGCCATAAAGTTGGGAACCCATGGCAATACCAAATGCACTCTACAACTCCAGGCCACAGAACCCCCAACCCCCAAATTCTTCAGCAAGGACTTGGAGATTCACACTGTCATTTCCCCAGACATAGACCCGTATCAGCAGGAATTTCTTAAGAAAGAAGGAAGAATGGCCTTTCTCATTTCTCATAAAATCAATCCTGCAAAAACAACAGAAAAAAATCCAAGGGTAAAACATAGAAACAGTTCTCATACAGGCACAAACCCCATAAACACACCTGCAAACATTCTGGTGTGCAAACATAAATAAGAACATGCACACAGACCATGAACTCATAAACATCCAAATGTGCATCTAATTACAGGGAAACGTACAAGCTGGGTATGTACACCAATGCCCACAAGTTTGCAGGGACACCTACTATCTAGCCACATCTGTACAGGTACATACACATGTATTACAGAAGTGAGGGGGCAAAGAGGAGAGCAGAATTTACCACTTAAAAATAAAAATCCTGGACAAAAGGGAAATGATATCTCCTGAGGAGGAAACTTCCTCCTCCTGGTCCCAAAGTGGGACCCAGTGCTTGCCCAGGAAGGATAGGCCCCAGAGTCAGGCACAAGAGTGGGGGCATTTCTAAGAAGTCTGGATTTCTTGAGGGTCCTGGAGGCTTGTGTCTTTGCCCCCTTTGGCCAGGAAGTAAGACAGGATTTGTTGTGATTCTGGGAGGGACCCAGCTAAGGTTGGGATGAGGCAGGCCTGTGCCCACATCGGAGGTCAGGGCCCAAAGTGATGCCAGCTGCCAGAGAAGCTGCTGCCGCTATGCATAACTTCCCAGATCCCCGCCTCCTTGCCCTCAGCCTCAGCCAGGCACCGTGTCCCACCCTCCACCCACCACTTTGTCAACGGAATCACTTCCCCAAACCAGAGAGCCTTTAAGTCCAGGCAGCCCAGAGGCCAGGCTGAGGCCTGTCTGCCTTAAGGAGCCGCTCAGGACAAGAGAAAGCGCCTCACCTCTGGCCCACCCTGGAAGGCCTTCTGCTTCTAAAGGAGAAAACCCGCACCAGAAAAAAAAAGAAAAAAGATAAAGAAAAGGTGCAGACTGGAGCGAGAAGCAGGTTGAACAAGAGGAGGCTGAAGCCCTGGGCAGGGAGGGCCCGACAGCCCGGGCTGTGTTTTCGAAATCAGGACAGCGTTACGGGCTTTGGGGCTCCTTTGAATGCCATCAGAGCCCAGGCACGTCTCGCCAGATCCTCCAGACCTGGACCTATCTGGCCGTAAGCCGCTTCTACTACCGCGCTGCCCCCTGGTCCCTGGTGTTCGACAGTCAGGCCGGCCGGGCCGCGGGGGCTCCCGCGGTGTGTGTGAGAGCGGGGACGCCCGGCGCCGGGTGCCCCGCACGTATACCCTTCCCAGGCCCGCAAAGAGGAGGGCTGCAGTGGCTCGTGAGCACAGTGTACACTTTATTTCAGACTACAGGTTTCTGAACATAATAAAATCTTTGGCTTGTAGCGGCGGTTCAGTCTCGCAGTCTGTGGGGTCGTATTTCTCAACACATCTCCAGAAAACGAAAGGGGACTCGGACAGACAGACCGACAGAAGGGCTGGAGAGGTGCGGGGGAGGCAAAGGGCAGACACGCAAGGAAACACACTCTCACACACACAAAGAAAAGTCCCAGAGAAACGAGGGCCAGCGATGCGGGGCGGGAGGCACCGGAGAAGCAGTAACATTCAAAAGAAAAAGGCAACGAAAACGAAACTGGGCCGGGGGCAGCGAGGCGAAGGTGGGAGATAAAATAATTATAATAATTATAATAATTATAACAATAATAATAAAGGAGATTAATAAAAAGTCCAGCAAATAGAGATCGCTACACATTTCTTTTCCTTACCTGAAATTAAATATATACAAGGTCGTAAGCGGTTTGGCTAGATAGAGCTTTAAGGAGTTCGTAGTTTCGTCCCTTAAACTGTGAATAGAGAGAACTAATTTTTCGATAGCACCTGTCCGAGTCTTTCTCGATTTTTAAAAACCTTTCGTTCAAACGTGATTCTCCATTCGGAGGAACTCCTTCTCACTCTCTTCCCTGTCGCTCCCTCCCTCCTTCGCGCCGATCCTTTCTCCCGGCGCGGGGCCGGCGAGGCCGCAGAGGCGGTGCCGGGAGGAGGCGCGGGCACTGCGGCCTGACCGCGCGGCCCCAGCCGGCGGCCGCTACTCGCTCTCGTCTTTGTCCTGAACCGTGGTGGTCGAGTGGTTGTACAGTCCCTGCGCCATGAGGTGAAGCGCCAGGCCGTTCTTGATACCCGTGGCTTTCTTGATCTTGGCGCGCTTGTTCTGGAACCAGATCTTGATCTGGGACTCGTTGAGGCTGAGCTCCTGGGCCAGGGTCTGCCGCCGCTGCTCCGTGATGTAGCGGTTCGCCTGGAACTCCGCCTTCAGTCTCTGCAGCTGCTCCGCCGTAAACGCCGTCCGCGGCCGCTTGTCCTCCTTCTCATTCTTTTTCTTCTTCAGCTTCCTGGTGCGCGGACCTGCAGCGGCGGACAGGGCCGGGTGGGGGTGGGGACGAAGGACAGAGGGGCGGGGGGGAGAGGGCAGAGGAAGCCGTGAGAATTGCAGAGCCGAGCCTGGATCGCGCCCCGCGCTTCCGGGGAGAAGGCGGAGGCCCTGCTGGCCCCTGGCTCCCTCCCGCACGCTGGCCCCTAGATCAACCGCGGGGCTGCTGGGGTCACAGGTTCCCTTTTGGTGGGCCAGAAGGACCACGGAGGAAAGCTAGCCGAAGTTGTATGTGCACCCCATACCCCAGTTTGGAACGTGAAAACCATATGACAGGCTTGTTACAGAATCCAAGATGGAGAGAGATTTGGAGCCCCATCTGGCCCAGCCCAGAGATGGAGGTTAGGAGCCTGCTGTCTTCACAGCCCTGGAATTAAAAGAGGCTCAAGACTGGGACAGTGAAGTCACCGGGACAAGACTGCCCTGAGAGCATTGCCAACCTGCAAAGAAAATCTTCCCTTCCTCCTTAAGAATCACACCTGCACTGGGCACCTACCATAATACCCCATCTGCTTGTAGCTATTGACCCCAAAAAACAAGAGGATAGGGAGGTGGTGTGTAAGGAGCTTGTGAGGGTCTTGTCTAGCTCCAAAGTCTTTGGTATTTGCTCTCTACCCTCTTCTTTCACTTTGGCCTAACCAAAGCCTTTTCTAGGGCCTCAGGGAGAAGCTGACCACCAGCTCCTCTGAAAGGAGAGAAAAGGCCTTCAGTCAGTTGTATGCCTTGCCTACATGACTCTGGCCTTCCTGTTCTCTGCTTTGCCCCTTGGATGGTGCCAGTAAGACAGAAAAGGCCTTTTCCACTCCTCCATCCAGATGCACAAGCAGAGTCTCCCTTAGCTCTCTTTTGAACATATAAACTGCAATTTCAGGACTGAAAACTTCTGGATAACAAAAACAAGCCAGATTGGCTTTCCTTGCCCAGCTATGGCATTTGCAAAGTGACTACATTTATTCTCCCCACATCTATGAGCAAAAGAGGGGCAGAGGGACAGAGGAGCAGAGACAGAAGGATGAGCCCAACAAAAACCTGTGTTTTGTCCCTAAGATGGGTATAGGAAGAGACCACAAGGATCCTCCCCAGGAAGGTGAGGTCTCCCTCAAAACCTAGTCTGGACAAAGAGGGCTGCTATGGAGAGAGGAGGAAGGTAGAAAGGCAGTCTTGAAAGCCTGCATCTCTGTGCATCAGCCACCACAGGAAAGTCTTCAGGCAATCACTTATTGGGCCTTGTCATGGTTATGGGAGCTTACTGAGCTGAGTTAAGTCCCCATCAGGTCTGTTAATCTCTAAAACTGTTCGGGAAGAAGGGTCTTCACTGGCATCTCCAAACCTAGCAACAGAGGGGCAAGCTGGGCAGCTGACTCCTGCGGCAGGCCAGTGCCTGAGTTCAGCAGCTGTCCTGTGACAAAAGAGTCCATGCCAGGGGACTGCAGTGAACTCAGGTCTGGGTTGAGATTCATCTCCCCCAACTGACTGCCTATGCAGGAAGAGCAGGTACCCTGCCTCCCAGGGCCATAAGAAGGAAAGCGACCAAGAACAAAGACAAGGTCCACTCCCGAGCACCTTGCTGGGAGGACTGAGAGGAGTCGGGGCGGAGAGGGTCTTGCTTTAGATTAGTAATTAGCTGAGTGGGCAGAGATGGACGAGGAAATGTGAGCATCCCCAGGAAGGCCCCACTGCCCGTTGTGCGTCCGGGACGTTGTTTGAGTGTTGTGTGTGCGTGTGTGTGTTAAGAAGCACGGACATTTGTAATAAAACCGCAGCCTCCCGGCCAGCCCGATCCACACAGCCTGACAGCTCAATCACTCTATCCATCAGGCGAGTCAATCAAAGCAGCTTTTCGTAGGTTCAGGGAGCCCGGTGTGTCAATAACGGGGCCCGATATGGAGGGGGCTGATAGTGCGCATCGATCCGCGCCCAGCCGGCAGCGGTGGGGAGGCTTGAGACTAGCTGGAGCAGTGCATAGCTACGCCGTGCTGGGCCTTCTGGTACATTGGGTTCCCGGAACACCAGCCGTGGGCCAGTGCCCCTGCCGCCCTGTCGCGGCGCCCAACCGCCTCCCGGGCGCTGGCGACCAGGAGGCAGGCAGGCCTCAGCCATCTCTCCTGGGGCCTAGTGGCTGTCCCAGGGTAGGTCTCAGCCACGCATTTCCCAAGCACATGGGATTTGAGGAAAAGGGGCTGAAGGAAAAATCAAGAAAAATAGGCCTACGTTTGGAGGAAATACGCTAACTGGCAGACTTTCGGAAAAAAGGAGTGAAAGAAGGAAGGGGCAGGGCCGGGAGGATGTGTGCGCAGTGCCGCGCAGAACCTGCGGAGGAGGCAGGCTCTCACGGACTCGGCCCCTGCGTTCTGGCCTGATCCCGACCTGTCTTCTCTCCTCACCTGCTGTCGGTCTGTCAGCTTAAGAGAACCAGGAGCCAGGGGTTCTCAGGCACCCACCGTTTCGACAATTGCCTTTCCCTAGATTCTACCCGCCCGAGTCAGGCTCTCCTTGACACCCGGCCTGGAGCAAGAAAGTCTGTGATCAGATTGTTTCTCACAAGCTTTGCTCGATTTCAGCCTGGGCGAGACCAGGCTGGTGGAATTTCAGAGCCAGATCTCTAGGCCCACCTTGTCCCCATTTCCAAATACCCCTTTCCTGGAAGAAAAATCAATGACTTTCCTAAGAACAATAAAGGTAAAACACAAAGATGTCCTGAGGGTCTCGGACTTCAAAACCGAGTAACAGAGATTTGAGCTCCTGCAGCCTACCGAGTAGTGGCCGCGGAGGCCTGGAGCGCACACCTGAGAGTACACCCTGTTGTGAGGAGGAGGAAGGAGACGGAGGGAAAAGAGTGTCCGAGACCTATTTTGCTCTGCCCTGCACGGCGGCTGAGCGTGTGGAAGGGTACTCACCGGAGGACGGACGATCAGAGTAGCGCGTGCAGTAGACCCAGGCGGGCCATACGAGGGGCTGCTGCGAGTCAGTTTTGACCACGGGCCCGCCGTTGGCTGAGCCCATAAGCAGAATGGCGGGGTTGCCGTGCTCCGGGTACTTGGCACCCTGTACACCTGGGCTCCCCACGCCGCCTGCACTGCCGCCGCTGCTGTCCGAGGGCTTGGCCGCTGCTGCGGCCGCCGCCGCCGCTGCCACGGCTGCTGCAGCTGCCGCCGCTGCGGGGTTCCCAGTTTTGGACGCTCCGGCGCCGCCAACGGCGGCTGGTGGGGAGCCGTCGGGTGGGCCACAGTTCACGTCCGGTGCGCACAGGAGCGAGGAGGCGCCTTGCGCCCGCGTGCCCAGCTGGTGGACAGGATCTCTACCTGCGCCGGTCTGGCCTCTGTCACGCTCTACTCGTCCTCCTCCTGCGCCTCCTCCGGCCGCCGCAGCCACCAGGAGCTGCGGCGGCGGCTGCTCCTTTTTGCAGCCGAAGTCCGGCCTCAAGATGTTGTCGATGAAAAAGTTGGTAGTGCGGTGCAGCTGGGCCGCGGGCTGCGGCTGGTGAGCAGGCGCCCCAAGATGCTGCTGCTGCTGCGGCGGCGGCGGCGGCGGCGGGGGGGGCGGGGGATGCGGGGGGAGGTGCGGGTGGTGGGCCAGGGGCGGCAGGCAGGGCGCCGCGGGCGGCGAGGGGGGCGCGGGCTGAGGGGACACCGGCACGCTGTCTCCATCGCTGCCGCTGCTGCCGCTGGCTCCTGGGCTGAGGTTCAGGCCGAGGCTGCCCGGCGCCGCCGCCACCGCCGCCGCCGCGCCGAGGCCCGAGTCGCGCTGACTTTTAGGTTCCGGCTGCTGTTCTTCCATGCTCGGCCGACCCGCCGCCCCGGCCGCCGCACCGGCCCCCACCCCCCCCGCCTCGCTCCCCACCCCACTTTGCCAGCGGCCCGTGGGGGTGCGCAGAGGAAGGAGGCCAACGAAGCCCCAGCGAAGGGCACGGGGCGGGTGCTGGAAAAAAAGCCCAGGCGCCTGGCCTGAATCGCTTGCTCTTATCGAGCAGATAGATCTCGCTGTCTCTCCCTCTCTCTAATTTGTAGATATCCAGATATGGAGACACTCGGTTATTTCTTTTTTCTTTCTGCCACCAGATTCAATGATTTGTTTTAAATGGGGAGAAAGCCACGGCCAAAAAGGGAGAGAAAAAAAAAGGAAAGAAAAAAGAAAGCAAGAAAAAAGAAAAAAAGCTCCAAGAATGTTTTTTCTTAAAGGAAAAATAGTCTTTAAAGCCTAGCCATCTTCCTAAGCAGTACTGAGGGGTTTGACTTCCCCGAGTGTCACGCTCAGCTGTGCCCAGAGCGCGAGGCTGGCAGCGCCTTTAATCGCCTTTGCTTTTTTTGCAGGGAGAGCGCGTCTCCGCCAGCGCCCGGGCTGCCTTTTTTTTTTTGCGAAGTTGGGCCGTGGGTCCCCGTCTCTTTCACTTCTTGGGTTACAGAGCAGACGAGTGACGTCCGCTCCACATGACGGGGGGGGGGGGCGGGGGCGCGGCCGCGGGCAGAGAGGGGGCGTCGCAGAGCTGGCCCGACGCGTCCGGCCCGCCTTATTCCACCCTCAACCCAGCCCCTCCCCCTCTTTCAGGGTCAGACTAAGGAAGGGGCAAAGGAGACCGGGGAGAGCTAGATTTCGGGGTGTAGGCAAATAGAGAAGCAACTCCATAAACAACTTGTTGGAGAAATGCAGGATTATGGGTGCGTGCGTGCCGGGCTCACGGTCAGGAGGCAGAGGCCTCGGCTCCTTTGCACCCCCATGCCTAAGAAACAGCCTTTTATTTTCTGTTTTTCTTGCTGCTATGAGGGATGAGAGGTTATTATCAGTGTGTGTATAGCAAACCGCGGAGGCCAGCTGCGCCAAGTGAAGACCGTCTGTTTGCAAGTTTGCAGTGCGTGCCGACCGGCTGCACTGAGTGTCCTTTCTAGGGTATCTGCACCCATGCCCTTCCCTGTCCGAACTTTCACCAACACCCTGGGAACTGTCTTGGCGCCTTTAAGCCAGGCCCAGAGGGCGTGAGAGAGCCGGAGCGCCGGGATCGCCGGACGCCTGTTCCTTCCCTGGCCACCGGAGTCGAAGCCACCTGGGCATCATGAAGTTGTCTTGGGCAGGCCCCTCAGCCAAGCAAGTCAGGGCGTGGATACACGCGAGGCTCCGGCTTTTGGGTTTGGGGCAACCTCTGTGTTGATTTCCCTGCAAAATGAAATCAAATAAAAGTAATGCACCCCAGGTGTTTGCCCTAACCAGCTGATTGAGGATGGGGACAGTGAGTTTGCCCCGGTTGCCCAAACTTTCTTGAGATTGCTTCTGACTTCCTGGAGGCCCCTGGCTCTAACCCTGCATTTTCTTCCCAAGCTTTGGGGGATGGAGGGGCGTCCTGACGCTCCCATGCTCACGGAGATCCATCTCCAGTCCGCTGGGTTCTTTTTCACTGTTTCCTGGGCGAGGCACCCCAGAAGTTCTCCCATCACCAGGGATGGATTGCAGGAGGTGAGGCGCTGGGCATGGACCGGATTTGTCTAACAAGCCTTTTAAAGTGCTAGAATCTGATAGTGCGCTCAAGCCTACGGTATTGGAGAGTGGCTAGAAAGGCTCCGGCAACCGAGGCCTTCGTGGGGATGTTATCTTGGAGCTCCAGCTAACCTCCTCATCCTCACCGCCGTCCTCAATTAGGATGGCAGAGAAAGGGTCTCTTTCGGGATACTTTCTGGTGGGAATATTCAAAATAATTCCCCTGGCCTAGAAAAGTCACAGAGGACTAGAAGGAAAATAAAACGAAAAACACAACAAGCATAAACACCGCAGTAGCCGAAGTTTCTCCAAGGGGCTGTTGGAAAGCTGGAGTTTGTATTGCTGGCTGCATCTTCAGGTCAGCCCAGGGTCTTCCGACTTCCCTGATGGACCTGCCTGGGAGACCTGGGGACAACGAGAACCACACTCCGAAGCGCTGCGCTAAGCAGCTAGCCGTCGTCTCCTCAATCCTCTCAATACCCTCCTTTTCTACCTTGGAGTCTACCAAGGCCTCCTGTTCTACACCTAAGGGCTCCCCGAAATTTCCCTGTGCCCCATCTTTTCTCCCCGAAATGGGGGTTGGATTTTATTTATGTTTAAGTTCGCAAAATTGAAATCTTTATCCCGCAAGCGACCGTGGGTACTTAATTAAATTCTAATTAGGACACTATCAATATCCTATTTAGCCGCGTAGCTTTTGTGCGCCGCGGTCCCTTTCAGCGCCGTAAATAGGGTCTCGACGCCTTATCTCGCCTGCAGGAGACGCCTCGAGAAGGGCTGCGGAAGATAATTTATAGGTTTTAATTACTCTTCATTCCGCCTGATCAGCTTGGCGTTCATCACAGGCCTGTGAATAAAACCCTGGTCAAAAGCTCTGTCACATCGCGCTGGCAAGACGCTTAATCAAAGTGAGCGGCCCCGCGCGCCGCGCGGCCCGGCTCCTCCACGTAATTTCCAGCCAGCTGATAAAGCCAGCTGAATAATGCGGCGGCCCTTTGGAGACACCATTTACAGAAATGACTTTATTGACGGCTTAACGTCGGTAATTCATTTTACCTTTCATGTAGTGGAGCCCGGATTTGTTACAGTAATGGGATGATAAATGCACCCGCGGCCCACGAGCTCCGGCTGGATTAGGCGGCACTCTACGCGCTGGCTCGTACCCCACCCCCCACCCCCACCTTCCTGGTCAGGCCTGCGCCTGATGCTCCGCACCTAGCGCCGCCTGCTCCCCATGACCCCCACCCAGTCTCACGCCCTCCTCTTCTGTCTGAATATCAACATGCTATTGGGAACTCGGTGTTAGCGGGCTGATGTCCTGGCAAGCCTGACAGTCAAGTGTGTGAGTGGTGAAAGTGAGCAAATGTTGGTCTAGATGGGTGTGTGAGGGGTCCAGGGACTGGAGTGAGCCCAGGACTGGGTGTGAGGGTGAGGAAGTACCGGCAGGGTGAGTTGTGTGTACAGGTATGTGGGTAGAAGGCTCCGGGTGTGTGGAGCGATGTGCATGCAGGTGTGAGTACATTTGGGGGGAGTTGTTTCTGTCTTTGGAAATTAAGGAATTTCTTCCAACCTGATAGATGTCCAGGGGGGATGATAGGGAGGTGAGCTGGCAGGAAGTAGGTGGGGGAGTCTACCAGGAATGGCATAGAGCCCCTTTCTCCAAATGCCCTCTGCCTATGGGCCAAAGGTGTGGACGTTTCAGGGTACCCAGTGTCCATTCCCATTGTTTTTAAATTCTGAGCTGTGCACAGAACACCACTGACCCAGCCAGGTCTCTGCAACAAATTGATTATTCCCAAATTCCATCTCCGTACCTAACCCACATAAAAGTGGAGAATAACGAAGAGGAAAACAATTTTGTTTTGTTTTGTTTTATATGGTCAAGGGGAGAAAATACTATGATTTCTTTCCCCACTTGAAGGAAGATGGGGGCCTAAAGAGGCTTTCAATGGTGGGGGAGTGGGATACGTGGAACAGGGAGAAACCCCAATCGTCCTGCCTCTCTATTTCCATACTCCCACCATTCTCTGCAGCTAAGCAGGGGCTTCCACCGAGCAAAAGACACCTGGCTAAACAAACCCGAAGAGGGGAAGTGTTTGTATGTTTGGGGAATGCTAGAGAAGTTTGCGGTCGTATAGTGGAAAGACTGGTGAAAGTCGCTAAAGGCAAAGGCTGAGAAATTTTACTTTTGTTTCTCCCCTTTCACAATATTGCAAAAAACACATTTCAATTTGGAGTGGCCCATGGCTGTGGGGACCCCAGCCTGTGTTTGTGTCTATTTGCTTGCTATGTGAGTACCACACAGAGAGAAACAGGTCTGTAAAAGCATTATTTTTTTTTGTCTGTGTGTATTTGTGTGCATGGCAGCAGGCTCATGTATATACACATCAGTATGTACATCGGAGTCTACCTCACACAGTTGGGCATGTAGAAATGTTTGTTGAGGGTTTTGGTGTATACTGTTCAGAAAAGGGAAATCTCCTGCCAGTCTGTGTTTCTGCACAATTTGGATTTCGTTTAGGGGGAGACTAATGCCACACAGTCCTTCCTGCTTCCACCTCTTTTGAGGATGGGTGAGAGGAGAATTGTGAAAGAAAACCTTACATCCTAGCCAGGCGTGTGCAGGTTGGGCCGAGAGTGCTAGCGTGTTGCATGCACACGGTGGTAATCGCATTTCGAGTGTAGATCAGATGGCGGTGGGGCCTCGTGGCGCGGGACATGAATGAGTTGTCGCAACACAATAGCGCGCAGCCTTCCTACGGGGACTGGGTGACCAGCGGTTTTGTTGGGAGTGAATGCGAGGAGATTTCTGCTACAAGTGCCGCGGTATTATTATGAGCCAGAAGGTCAGACTATACATCGCAGGTCCCCAAAGCCTATAGACCTCGGGAAATGTGGGGCCTCGAGCCACGTCATTGTACCTGACAGTCCTTTCAATAGACTAATTCAATTAGCGCTTGGGGTTTTGGTCTTCATTTGGAAGCGATAATAATGTGGGGGGTGGGGGGGTGCAGAGGGATTTGTTGGGTATTGGTTAGGGATCCTAAGCAATTCTGCGCAATGCTTGGAGTGGGACTGAGGGAAGCAGGGAGGGGGAAAAAGCCATGGTGGGTGGGGGTGCGTGGGAGGCAAACCATGGAAAATAAAATGCTTTGTTGACTCTCGAAATTGGGGCATCAGCTTTGTTTGTAGATGGCCCAGAAGACTGGAGAGGAGGAACAGGCAAGGAGAATTTCCTTTTTTCCGTGTGCATGAAAGATGCCCACAAATGTCCAGGTTCCTAGAAAGCTCGAGGGGGGCGGGGGGGGAAAGCCTGCTGTTGAAGGTTGTCACCTTTGGGGTTTCTATATTTGGATTTATGCCCCGACCATTGTGCCTTCTTTATCCGAGGGACCATTTCAC